GTATAACAAGGATAAGTTGGGTGTACTGTGTTGTATTCGCATAATTAAAATTAAAAATAAATTAAAAAAATATTAAAGGACATATTCTTGCACAGGCACAGGAAGCCCCAATGCAAAGCCCAAAGAAGGTATAATCCCATCCCCCAACTCTCAACTCCATTTTGGCAGCTGCACCAGAACCCTGGGCTTGGTGGTTCTACTTCACCCTTGAACCCTCTTTCCCATCAGCCTCCATGGTTCCAGTGTCTTTCTCCCAGCTTGGAACTGAACCAGATGGATTATTTCTTCCAACAAGAGTATACAGGACCAATCTTGGGACACCATGCTTGATACTCCTTTGCAACTGGATGAAGACCAATTTTTTTTCCCTTCGGGGATGGATTCTAAGCTAGCTACTGTATTTACTTTACTGCCATGCCACCCAAGCACCATGAACTGCAGATAGTCCTTGATGAATGAGGGCCTCCAACCTTGTCCACTTTAAGACTTGTGAACTTCAATTCTGGCTGAGTGTGACGTCAGATGATTGTCGCCATTTGCAACCTCCTGTCAGCTTCTCCATAATAGACTCCATAGACTTTGCTCATTGGAAGCTGGAAAATGGGGATCATCACATGTCTCTCAGGCATTGCAGCAGCTGTGAATTTTGGAGACTAGTTACAGGTAGTTTACAACAACTTACAACAGTTTGTTTAGTGACCATTCAAAGTCACAACGGCACTGAAAAAAGTCACTTGTGACAGTTTTCCACACTTACGGCAGTTAGACTGCCCCTCCCCAAAGTCATGTGACCAATTCTCAGCCGCTTGGTCACTGGCAAGTGTTCATGATGGTCGCAGGGCCTCACCTTCTGGGACCTTCTGACAAGCAATGGGGAGTCAGATTCATTTACCAGCGGTGGGTACTAACTTAACAACTGCAGTGATTCACTTAACAACGATGGCAAGAAATGTTGCAAAATGGGGCAAAACTGTTTCTCTTAGCAACTTAACTTTTTGGCTCAATTGTGGCCATACATTGAGAACTGCTTCTAGTCGTTCAGGACTATTGTAAGTTTAAAAGTTGCTGAATGAGAAGTCATTAAGCGAGGAGCACCTGCAGTGTGCAAATCAGCATTGATGTGCGCAATGTGGAAGTGAAGCAGGAAAGGGGCTTCCTCCTACGGAGGGGTGTGTGCTCTGTGTGGGACCCGTCAGCAGCTCCTCTGCTTTTCCCCTCCTCTCATAATAATAATATAATATATTAAATATATAATATATAAATTATATATAAAACATAATAATAGCTGCATCATTGCAGAGAAAAACACAATAGACTTCTAGCAACCTCCTGTCCTGCCCACCCATTGGGGCAATGGATTGCTATATTCCAATTATTTTTAAGCATTGCTATAATATAAGCATTGTGATTTCATAATTATAATTTATTTTCTCCCCAATCACAACTGTGAATTTGTGGCAAACTGAACTCACTATGTAATCACTGGCCTATGTAAATAAAAAAGTGCTCATTTCTCGTTTTATTTGCCTGTGTTGTCCAGTATCTCTTCAGCTAAGTGTGTGTTGTTGCTTATTCTGAGTTTTACTACAGGATCCACACTGAGTCTTTCAAAGAAACCCGGGCACAGAAAACTGGTTTTCTGCATACAGTGAATTTATTGATAGATTTATCCCATTAGCTGTATTTACCTGTCAGTCCTAACAACACTAATGAGCTGTTTTTCAAGGACTAATGAGAATTGTGACGGCTCACGGGTGTTTCCAGTGGCGCTGCTGAGCACCGCTGATTGTGTACGGAAACTTGGCTTGGGCCCTTGAAGATGCTAATAGCACTCTCAGAGGTGCCTTAATGGCATTGCAGCCGAATGGGGATAATTCTTGCCTGTCACCCAGCCATTTGCAAAGCTTCTAGTGAGCCAGAGGAGAGGGAGGGGGAGGGGAGGGGAGGCTGGAGGCACATTGTGCCTTCACCCCATCCCCCACTTAGTCATGTGTGGTGGGTTTTTTTTTTATTCTGTAAGGAAACCTTTGGAAAATAAATCCCTCTTTCCTTACTGCCCCTAGATCTTCTTTCTTGCTGTTCAGGTTGGTGGGGGTGAAGGAAAGTCAGGCTACCTTGGAGTGAAGAACAAGACAATGCTGTCCTGCCTTTTCCTACCTCACTGCCCATCTCTGGGCTGGAATGAGTGTTGGGACAGCCTCTCTTATCCCTCTGTCACTGAGAGTCAGGAAGCAGGTAAATTAAGAGTAGTAAGGTTGATCCCAGTCAGCCAGATGTTTAGATGGGGTTTGGCAATTACCCACAAGCTGAGCGAATGAAACTTCACCCTCATTGGGCACTTTTATCTATCTATGGAGTCCTTCCCAAGGACTTGGGATAAGCAGTTGTTGTTGCTTGATAGTGTTAAAGGGATCATCACAGGATGTAAGCTTTATTATTATAATGTACACAACATTGTGAAACCACAACCGCCAGTATTTTAGCTGGTTTCAACCTGGAAATAAGGAGATATTTTCTGACAGGGAGAACATGAATGTTTGAATGGAGCACCAGCTGACACAAATACAGTTACATCTGGGATGTTCTGAACGAAGATTTTATCAGTTTTATTTGGAAATCCAACAATATTTTAACCTGCTCATTTTCAACTGCTTTCTCAACTTTATGTTGAGATTTTTTTCATTATTGGCAGATGATAATTTTTACAGGTGTCAAATGAATAATTTTGATGACTGTCATTGTTTATAATAAGTTTGTGTGATTTTCTTGCATGAACTGAGGATAAGATCTACTGTTTCTTCTGCTTTTTTGCAGATCTGTACTCTAAGTCAGTTAATGATTTTCCAGTTTTGGTCTTTTGCATTAGTTCGGATAGCTTTTTCTTATTAATGTTCCAGTTGTAAGCCATTGCTAGGTTTTATCTTTATTCACTTTCTCCTCAATTTTTTGTAGAAATTGGCCATATAATGCTTTTCCTTGCATGTTCATGTTTTATGACATTATTTGCTTCTTGTTCCTTGTATATTTTTTAAAAAAGTTTTTTATTTTTTACACATCTCTTCAAGTGAGCAACGTGATTCCAGGTTACAATATTATACATAGTCATAATTGCATTTTCAACTTTCTTATCTAATATCACATCAAATCTATTCCACTAATCTTTAAATCAGTTCTCACTTCATATTTCAATTCATTAACAATATCAAAAACATTTCATCCTCACATATATTTTCAATTCTTTATCCCCTATTATTTCCATTTTCAGCTTACCACCTATTTTATTTTACATTATTTATTATTATCTTCATTAATTTTCTCAGAGCTGATATATAATAAACTGTCAAAAAAGAGTAAAATTAAAATAAAACTAATATATTCAAGATCCACATGGTATATCCCCCAATCTACAATAAATGTTATATTTATTCCAGAGATATTCATATAACCATTCCATGTTTTTTCTTTGTTTCCACTTAGCCAAAGTCCACCTATACAATTTTAGTAAGTTTTCATTTCCCCCCTTTTTAATCATAATATATTACTCTCATTACACATACTTTACATTCCAATATAGTCCCTTCTGATTTATCATATTCTCTATTTTCTCATATCCCTTATATAATCAATTACATACACTAAAGAAAAAAAACAGCAAATTAAGTTTTCCTTTTTGTTTCCATTTGATCAAATTTAACCTATAAAGTCTTATTTATTTCACACTTTTTAGTCATAATAATTTTTTCCAGTTTGCTATATTCTCTGTTTTTCTAATATCATTTGGATAATTACATACATACATACATACATAGGTCTAGGTGTATTCAGGTCTTTTCCGAATACCCTTTAAGAGTATGTTGGTGACATTTCGGCGAGGTCCCACTTGCCATCCTCAGGCTGGTGCTTTCGGCTTCGTGCCAGCGCAAGCAGTATGTGATTGGAGCTGCCGTCTCTCTATAAATACTGGTGGTGGGGGCTGGTGTGCTGGGCTGGTTGGCTGCACTGCTGCCTCTTGATTGGTTGATGGAGTTGATGTTGGTATAATGGGCTGTGTGATGGCCTTGTGAGTTTTGTTGTGGGGATATCCTGGATCTTGTGCTGTAATCTCCTGGGTTGTTTGTTTTGTAGTGATCTTTTTTCCATTAGCCTCTTGTGTTTTAATGGCTTGGGTAATGGGTTGTGTGATGGGCTTGCGAGTTCTTTTGTTGTGGTATCCTGGGTCCTGCGTTGTAATCTCCTGGGTCGTTTGTGTTTTGATCTCTTTTCCATTAGCCTCCTGTGTAGTAATGGCTTGGGTAATGGGTTGTGTGATGACCTTGTGAGATTTATTGCTGTGGTATCCTTGGTCTTGTGCTGTGATATCCTGGGTCATTTGCTGTGTTGCAACTTCTTGAGTTCTTGTGGTGTAAGTTCCTGAGTTTTCTGATGTGATATCCTGAGCGGGTGGCTGTGATGTAGCATTCTGGGTTTTAGTCTGGCTTTGAGTTTGGGGTCTGGGTCTGTGTTCTTGGCGTCAGCTTGTTTGGTTTTGGGGTCGGGGGGTGCAACAGCTGGCGCAGCAGCCATGGTCTGTTTTCTGGATGGTGGTTGTCCTTCATTTATAGGATGGGCTTGGGCCTGAGTCTGATGAGGGGGATTGGTGGTGGTGTCCCGTGTTGTTTTGGGTCTGGTGTTGGTTTTTGTGGCTGGGACTCGTTTGTTGGTGAGGGCTAGCTTCCAGATGTTTAGTAGGTGGGAGGTATTGTCCCATCTATTCATGTTATGGGGGTGTTTCTCTATCTTGATGGCTTCCCTGATTATTCTCTTGCTGGAGTGTTCAGTGTTGGATATTAATTTGGTTCCTTCGAAATTAATTTCATGTCCTGTGGCTTTAAGGTGCTGGAAGAGGAAGGAAGTATTTTCTTCTCTTCTGACTGCGTTTTTATGTTCTGCGATGCATGCATTTATTCTCCTGTTGGTTTGTCCAATGTATGTAGCCAGGCAATTGTTGCATGGTATTTCATAAACTCCTTGGTTTTCTAACTGGATCTTTTCTTTGGGGTTTCTTAGGATGTTGGCTATTTTTTGGTCAGTGCCGAAGGCTGTCCTGATATTGTGTTTGTGGAGAATTTTGCTGATTTTGTCTGTGGTGCCTTTGATATAGGGGAGGAGTGCGATACCGTTGTCTTGTTCTGTGTCTTGGTTTTTTGGGGGTATCTCTTTTTGGATTAGATTGGTGATAGTCTTTCTTTGGAATCCGTTGGGAATTAATATGTTAGTGAGGGTGTGTAGTTCTTTTCTCAGGTGGTCTTTGTCAGCTAGGCATTTGGTTCTGGAGATGAGGATCTTGGCTATGGAGTTGATCTGTGCAGGGTGGTGATGGGAGTGTGCATTTAGGGAGTGGTTAGTGTGTGTTTTTTTCTGGTAGATGGTGTGTCCTAGGGAGCCATTGGGTTTTTTGTAAATTAGGACGTCCAGGAAGGGAAGTTGGTTGTTAGTTTCTGTTCCCATGGTGAATTGTATTTTGGGGTATAGGTTGTTAAGATGTGTGAAGAAGTTGTCCAGTTTTTCTTTCCCATGTGGCCAAATTACAAAAGTGTCATCTACATAACTGAGCCAGAGTTTGGGTTTATGTTCGGATTTGTCTGGAGCATTGGTTTCAAAGTGTTCCATGTATAGGTTAGTGATGACGGGCGAGAGGGGGTGATCCCATGGGTGCTCCTTCCATCTGTTTGTATCTTCGTCCATTGTGGATGAAGTATGTGTTGGTTAGGCAGAGGTTGGTCAGATCTAGGATGTGTTTGGGAGGGTTGTATTAGTTTTGGATGGCTATCAAGGCTTCTTTGATGGGTACTTGGGTGAAGAGGCATATCACATTGAAGCTCATGAGTAGGTCGCTGGGTTGTAGGTTTTGTTTCTTTATTGCTTCTATGAAGTGGAAGGAGTTTTGTACATGTGAGGTGATGGATTCTGTGTAGGGCTGGAGTTGTTTGGTGAGAAATTTGGCAAGATTTTGTAGAGGTGAGCCTATGGAGCTGACTATGGGTCTCAGTGGTATTCCTTTAGCTAGCTTTCCCTTTTCTAAGTTTTTCCAGTCTTTCTTCTTTACTCTTCTTTTTTTCCTCTAGTATTGTTTTTATTTTCATCTGCCAATCACTTATTTCTCCCCCCCTCCTTTCCTGTTCTCTTTTGGAATTTCTTCTTGTACATTTTTTCTTCTTTTGTTTGATCTTGGGAGTATTTTCTCTTTTATTTTTTACATCCAACATCAATGTCTTAGTTTGGATTCCTTTTACATCTTTTGGCAGTCCCTTGCTCTCTGTGCTCTTTTAAGCTGCTTTCCTCTTCCTTTGTTCTTCTATGAACTGCATCGCCATTAATTTTTCTGCCAATGTATCCAATAATTCCATTCTTTCCTTTAACATTTCTCTCACAGTTTGCAGTTCCAACTTGAACTCTTTGCTTGTTTCTTCCATTTTTTAAATCAGTTGAGTTAGTCTTTATTTTATTAAAAGTCAGAGTCTTTTATTTTAATCCTTGCCAAAAATCTCTGTTTGTCACAATTCCTCTTATGAATCCTTCTGTCTCCTTGTCAAAATCAACACCAAACAGTCCCAAGATATTACCTTCGTTTGTCCTTTTGCTGCAATCCCCCCCTTTTTGTAATGCTTCTGGGGTTCTTGTTATGATATACTCTTTTATTTCAATTCATTTCTCATTCACACATTTATAAGACCAATAATTTTCCATGAAATCATAGGCGAGAAAGTGCCTTTAACCATTAGATGGCACTCTACATTGCTTCTACTTTTCAAAATTCTTTTTTCTCTTTTCAATTATATTAGCACTAATTTTCAACCATTAGCTCTTTTAAATATAATCAATTCCAGGCAAGTCCAGCATTCTATCCAATGCCTAATTAATGCCAGTTTCTATATCTTATTCCAACTCTAATTCTGCTGTAATTCTTTTATAATCTGGTTTTTTATTTACTTTGTATTTTCCTCTTATTTTCCATTCGCCGCTATCGTACTCTTAAGCGAGGGCTCTTTCTTTCAGTTTTTCAGGGTTGTTGAAAAATAAAGTCCAGGTTCTTTTGTCTGGTTACATGCTGCTCACCACTTCACCACTCCAGCACACACTTAGGTCCTGGAAGCTTCCCGTCTTCAGGGCAGCCATTAAAACTGCCACTACCTCCTGTCTTCAAGGGGAGTATACATAGCCAGGGAGGGGAGATGTGGCTCCTCTCGACCCACCTGGTGGTCTCCCTCTCTTCCTCCACCCCTCTGAATGGGTCAGATGGATCCAGTCCCATTGGGACTCTCCAACAGGATCAGCACGGATCAGAGCTGTGCACGTTTGCGGTCTTCGGTCTGTCTTTGATGGACATGCCACCGGAAGCCATTCTCTTTACGTATTTGTTAATAATTTTATTAAGCTTATCAAGATATAAATACAAAGAAAATAAAAATAGTGGGAAAATGGGGGAGGGAATGGGAAAGAGAAAGAAGGGCAGGATAAAGGGAGGGGGTAGAGAAAGGAAAGCATTGATTTCTGACTCTTTTAGCACAGTAGAATAAATTAGTAGCATTACAGTCTCACTGTTTTACTTTTAAATACTTAATATGTCATAGCCATTTTTGTAATAACAAACTTATGTAATCAACAAACCCAAAGTCAATGTTTCATTTTTTTCTAATGTCAAGCACAAAATCTGGAAGTGGTTTTGAAGTGGGAACAAAGTTGGATATGTTCTTTTCTTTGATTAGAAATAGAATCATAAGGCTGGAAGGAGACCTTATTTCATCCTAGAATGAGGGATGGGTTGTCCAATCTTTTCTTGAAAACTTCCAGTGATGGAGCCCCCACAACTCCAGGAAGCTGCTCCACTGTATAATAGTTCTCACTGTCAGTCCAGTCCCAAAGGTGATTTTTCAACAGGCAATTGGACTTCTTTTGTTTTTTCTTGAAAATGTTTCGCTTCTCATCCAAGAAGCTTCCTCAGCTGAAGTTCATGAACAGTCCATTGCATCAAGGACAGACTATTACAACATGGTCTGTAGGAGTCTGAAATTGACCCAGATTTTATGGGACTTTGCATTGTCTACCGATAAGCTGGGGAATAAAATGTTGGTAATAATTAGTACAACTCTTTATGGATCAGCACTCTGGTATCTCCAGGATCAACTTGGTTAGATAGAATTGATCCCTATAATTTATTCATGTTCAGATTTTATAAAGAACTCTCTACCCCTACAGAGATCTATAAAGCTCCCTCCTTTGTGCTTTTTCACTTTAAAGACAACTTATTTTTATTTAGGTAACTTTTGAAGGGGAAATTATTATGACTGTGGTTTTTGTAATTTTATATATAGTTTTATAACCTTTCATGTATTTCCTTCATTGCTTTTTCTCATTTTAACATATTGTCATCCAGAATCTAATGAGTTGAGCAGGCTACAAAAATCTATGAAATAAATAAGCAAATGGTAGATGGGGTGAGGATTGTCTCATGATGTGAGGTTTAGGGGCGGGGGGAGTGAAGCGGGTGCAGAAGAGCAAGAGGCCACCAGTTCATGAACATCAGGGCACCGTACTAATTTTCTGTCATGTATGGCTTCTAGGGTCTTTGTGGTTATATTGTAAATTGGCAGGAATCTTTGGGGAGACTTACACTACATAAATGCTGCAAGTAAGAAACAAAAAGGCAAATGTCAAATCTATTTCCTTATTCTGGTCTGTTACTGTAATTACACTTTTTAGAAAAATTGTTTTTTTTTTTAAGCTTTGAGACTTTGGCCAGAATTCTTCAATCTGCTCAGTTATCGCAACCATTAAAATGGTTCCCTGATAATATTTAGCATTTTTGTTAAATGCGCATCCAGTCACAAAATCTGTGGGTTCAGGAAGACCTTGGTACACCATAACATGCAAATCCAGCATTTTCACCTACATGCCTGTGCACAGCTACAGCTACTTCACAGTGTATAAGCAAAAAGCATCACAGCAAGATGTTTCTTAAAACTACTATTCGGAATTTCCTGGCACCACTTGCCCTGTAATCTGCAGCCCCTTGTGCATCATTTTTATCTCTCTGAAGGAAGAATTGTGTGCAATGAGTCTGGGATTAATTAGCTTCTTTGCCAATGTTATAAAACCAAGAGATGACTGAGTTTCAAGGTCTGTGAATCCTGTTCCTAGAGATTAGCTGATTATGACTCATTTACAATATCTGCATGGGATTTTCTTATAATTTTTAAAATACATTGGAACAAAGTTTGTCTTTGGATTTTAATCTTCCTGTCCTTCTTTTCGTATTGTCTCACTGAACTGCAGCCCTGTGCTGACCAGACAGTATAGAGTTAATGGGATTTGGGATAGTTAATTAGGAATTGAGAGCTGTCCCCTTAAGGGAATGCATCATGATAAATGTAGTTAAGGTATCCTGGGAAATGTAGTCCATGTCATGTGGTCACATCTGTAATCCTGATTGGTCACTAAATTGACCCTTGTTGGGTTGGGGGAGTCTCCCTCACTCTTGCCTGAATCCATTACCATGCAGCTGCTTCAATCATCATGGGGATGAGAGTTTATTATCTTTCTACACCATAATGCAGATATGCAAAGGATTGGACATTAAGAAGAACCTTGTCATAACTGTGAGTTGATAAGGATGCCCGATGAACCAATAAAAAAGACTTTGTATGGATGCTTTGTGGAGTTGCTCTGTCTGCTTTATACCCATCCAGAGAGTAATAAGCAGAACAAGCCCTGTCTACTCATTATTTCTCAGGGAAATTTTTCCATTTGCACACTTGCATAATACTGAGGGGTGGGGCATAATTTGTGGCCTTGGCCTTTTAAATAGCCAAGTCAAGAAGTTCTGAAGACAGCAGGAGCAGCGACTTGAAAAATATAGCATACCAACCCCCAAGAGATCAATGATGTATTTGCAGCTGTATCTCCAAGCATATTTTCCCATAAAAGAGTAAAAGTAAACACCCAAGTCCTTCTGAAAGTGAATGTGGAGTGAGTGGATTGACCTTGGTTGAGTTTGAATCAAAATTCTGAGAATCAAAAACAATACCATGTAATTCAAATTCATGATGGTAGATTTGAGTTACTTCAAGACATGAGATTCGATAAAAAGAATTATTATTCCACAGGCTACAATGGGGAAAACATTTTTTGGTCAAGAAGATGAAAAGCATCCAGTCACTTCTCTTTGAAAGGAAGAATAGCAGGAAAAAAAATACACCAGGAAAAAATGAAGGTTTTGCATACAAGGTTTTGTGGTTTTTGCATACAGGTTTTGTAGTAAGACATACAAATGTCTTACTACAACTAAACCATCAAACTCTCAAAAGTGCTTCAGAAATTAAGTGCACATTCACCAAATCAATTGCTAGGCCTGGGATGGCAATGTGATCAGCCAGTGATGTTGCCTTAGAGCAGGGCTCTCCAAACTTGGCAATTTTAAGACTTGTGAACTTCAACTATTCCCTATGCTGGCTGTTACCTCACACCTCTCAATTCCCATCCTAGTGGTCTCCAGTGTAAAACTGAAATAGCAACACTCACCAAGACATCCCAGGGAAACTGCAGAGTACTTCAAAAGGCCACTACCCCATTCCAAGCCACCAGCTTTTATTGAACCTATGTATCATCTATCTACTCCCCTCTTCCTCCCCCCTCCCCCTCTCTCCCATCAAATATTATAGACACCCATTTCATGGATGTGATTCTGGATGGCATACAATAAAACAAAAGAAAACTGAGCCTTCAAGGCTGTATATACAATGCAGCCATTTCACGGGTTCCCTGTTTCCACTGGATCCCCGAGCCTGTGGACAGAACCACATTTAAAGGGTTTAAAACTCAGTTCACTATGATTCACAATGTGTCTTGATGGGGGGATTCCCTGAGAGCTTGTCAAATCAAAGTTCAACCAATCAATCAGAATAGACCCAAAGGTGCTTTTTTCAAGAGGCAACTGGACTTTCTGGTTTTTCTTTGAAGATGTTTTGCTTCTCATCCAAGAAGCTTCTTCAGCTCCGACTGGATGGTGGGGAATGGGAAGATTTATGCTCCTTGCAGACAGCTGGTCATTTGCATTCTTTTA